TTTTCTATTAACTGCTTAAATATGAAGATTGCATTTTAACAGCTTGTGTTACTTCTAATACCCATCTGTTCTTCTACCAGCTGTGGTTCTATCCCTCATTTCAGCCATTTCTGTTAACTTGGTGTGCATTTTCCCAAGACTTAAAAGAGAAATGCCTGGATATTGACTGCAATCTTGCTTTCTTTCCTTGTTCTTCCACAATTGGATATTAGTTTGTTGTGCCCATACTGAAGCAAAGATTGTGTGAAGCTATCTGATGTTGCTTTCACCTGCTGCTTGGGTTTATTTCTGTTGATAGTCTGTGAACTGCTGGTACTTTATAGCTGGGTGACTTTTAAATGAATGTTTCTACTTCATCAATTAGTGTACCTGGTTCTAGGACTGCTGCTATGTTGTCTTGAGTTGTCCTTTCCTGGTGATCTCCTAGGGATTAAAGAGCTCATCAAAGTATTTCATCTTTTTACTTATGGTTGATTTATAAGGGCCTTTCTACTTTGTCATTGATTATTTATGTAGGGATACAGTTCTCATCTCTTTGTGTATATGTGTGTGTGTTTGTGCATGCGTGTGTATCTGTGTGTGTGAGCAAGCACGCACACATTTTTGACTACTTTGTTGGCTGTCAAATGTATTTTTGGCATTCTTCTATTACACCATATCTCACAGGCTTCAAATGTTATTATATTAGTGAATTATTCAACATATTATTACAGCATACATACCACAATGGTTGAGATTCAAGGGTAGCAGACAATCACATATGCTATGTTGCTTGTGGTTTAAAAGAGTTAAGATAATCTAGTGCAAAATTGTAACTGTCCAACTACTCACAATCTCCTATGTATTCTTCCTATTTGTTCTTGTGAGTGTCATAACTGGGTTGTTCCTGTTTACAGCATAACAGTGAATCACAGTGTAGAATCAGTTCAACAAATGATTCATGACAATTCCCTCGCAAGTGATGTGATTATCTATACAAATGGCTCTGTGTTGAGGGGCAAACGAAGTGCGTGGGAGTTTATAGCAAAGACGAATGGACATCACTTAGTGCAACAAAGCCTGGCATATGATATCACAACGTAAAGTTTCAGAATGGAGATGGGGGCAGTTACTGCTGACCTGCTGGCTTGAGAATCAGCTGTACACACATGCTGTGATGGTCACTGACTCACAGAGCATGTTGAGAAAGGTAGAAACGGGTATGCTCTGTGCAGAGTGACAAGCATCACTTCAGAGGTCCCGTGTAATTAGTTTCCTTTTGATAATCTCTCCAGGTCATGCTGGTATGTTGTGAAATAAGCAGGCAGATTCTGCACCACCTGGTGGTGAAATGATGTATGACAAGCTAGATGGTGTGAGGGCTCTCTGGGAGCAAGTGAATAGTAAAGAAGCGGAAATAGATCATTACGGTCTTTGGAGAATGGCGCTGCGAGGAGTTGCCAGGGGATCAGGCCTATGCTCAACACTCAAGGGAAAGGTGAGATGGATATACAATCAGACAGTTACTGGCGCCGTCGGAACTGGAACTCTTTATTTGCTGCTGAAGATGGGGATGGAGCACTTATGGGGATGTCTCGAGTGCTATGATGTCTATTCTTAATTTAACAATCAACAATCAATCAGTGATGTTTGCACCTTTTGGCTAAAACATCTGATTTTTTAAGGCAATTGTTTTCTGGGTTAGCATTACTAGACTCACAGTCAGTCAGCCTCCCCACTCACGGATTCTGTCTCATCTGCTATTAATGTATTTCATCTTCACTAGTAGGATGTGTCTGGGGATTGGAAATATGCCAGTGTGGCTTTTCATTTTGCCTGGTAACTGTACATCCTGGCATCACTTAAAATGAAGCTGATCAATATTTCATGAGTGATACATCACTCATTCATTTATAGCCTTGTCTCTTCCACTCTTGCTAATGCACTTTATGATAGAACTTAGTTATTCTGTTTTTCATCTCTCATTTAAAGATACATTGCAGAATTGCACTTCATTTGTAGTTTTTCTTCTATTGCTGTGTAATGGAAACATTTTTCACAGTATAGTGTAGGCTCCATTTTCTTCCTATGTTGTATACAGACACTGTGGTGTATTATTTACTCTTCTGTCTTTTTCACCTATATACAAGGACATCTTATAATGTTTACAGTTAAGTTTATTTCCCACCTCCTTTTCTCTGTTGTGTTTAGATGCTATGTCATCTTGTCTAGTCTTCACCAAGTTGCTCTCTTGTGTAAACATATTGTAGTATTTTCTTTGTCTATTTTTTGTTTGCTGCATTGCAAAAATATATATGACATAATTATGCATTCACAAGTATGCACACAAACACACACTTACACGTGCACACATGTACACACACACGCACACACACGTGCACACACACACATGCACACACATGTGCACACACACCCCCTGCCCTCCCCCACAAATACACACGCAAATACACACAACCATGAAAACACATATATCATTCTTATGTGTTTATACAGGGAGCTTTTAAAAGTCACATCAAACCATCTGTGCTGCCAGATGGATGTTGCATGAGACAGGCTGTATTATTTATAAGACACCAAACAATAATTGTGCACTAAGCATATTTTCTGTGAACAAAATAGTTGTGGATATAAGCGTCAGCAGAGAGAAGGTTTTTGTGACAATTTTCAGACCCATTGACTGTACCAGCAATGTCTTGTCTCATGCAGTATATAAGTAGGTTTACCAATAAAACAAGAAAAACTGAATAACCAAAAAGAGAGAAAGGGAAAACAGTGTGAAGATCTACTTTTCTTTAAGAAACAGTATAAATAGTTATGACAATATCTCGTGATTTCACAATGGACTTCTTGACACATGTTGGATACGTTTTAAATTTGGAACTTTGATAATTGATTATTTGAAGTCTGCAAACATGAAAGATTCTTCTAGCATCAATGATGGCTTTACTGGCGACAGTTCTGCAGGAACTGTCTTTATCAGGATAGCAGTGCCAGATTTAAAAATACAGGTAGGAAATTGCAAGTTTGTGTGTTCTGAAAAAAATTTTTTTTTAAAGTTTGATTTGCATTACTGTTGTTGTTTCAATATATATATTGTGAGTTGCTGTTTTCATTTATATCAGTCATATTCCCCATTATTTACAACCTGTTGTTGAGTTGACAACTGCATTTCATCCATGATATCAAAACAATTGCACAGGATCGAACGAAATGGTGGAATAAGCTGCAAACCCTATGTGACATAAAATAGCACAACAGCACAGTGATGTTGACTGAGTTAAAATAATAATACTGCTGAAAGAAAAGGATGAGCCTTGGATTAACATCAGCCGGTCTAATTACTCCTGAATCATTACATGGTAACATTATAAACTGGCCTTAGTGCAGACGTGAGGTTCCTGTACCTTCACACCATGCTCATTCTGAGAGTGTTTGGAGAGTTCAGCCATTTAGTCTCACTTGGAATAGTTTACTGGACTGGGTCAGGTGAAGTATGTCTACAACAGACTTATGCAGAAATAATCTTTCCAGTGCTCAAACAACCTTGATGTGAATCAAATCCAGAAGATTCAAACTCAGCATACTTATCAGCTTTTTATCAGAACACAACATAAGACAGTAATCCCATATGGCAAAATCATCTTATAAAACTCCATTGCCACACATGACTTATTTATCACAGAAGACTTCAAAATCCCACACCACTCCTTCACAAGTGACTCCATTATCATGCATGACTGGATCAAACATGGAACCAAGTATAATGATAGAATCATTAGAGATGATGAAATATGTTTGATGACTCTATCATTACACATGGCTCTATCATTACACTGGACTTCATCACTGCACATGGCTCCACCATCACACTTGACTCCATCATCAAACATTATTCCATCATTAGACATGACTCCTTCACAAATTTGTGGGACATCAGGAGCCTCTCTTGGCAGTGGTGAAACATCGCAAGCTAGCTTGGTTTAGGTACGAAGTGAGACATGATTCGATTGCAAAGACTGTACTTCAAGGAACACTGGGGGGTAGTCGAAGAAGAGTAGGGCAAATAACAACCTGGAGTGACGACATCAAGAAATGGATAGGACAAAGTTATCATACACTTATTCATCACACGGAAGACAGAGAAAGATGGCGGGTTTTATGTGCTAGTGCTTCCATCAATACACCTCCACGAATCTAATGGGTCAAGGGTTGTGCTATGTTATGACTCCTTCTTACATGACTACCATTATACACATGACTCTATCATCATCTATGAGTGCATCATTTAACATATTCAATCATCACACATGAGTCCATATTTTACTTGGCTCCATCATCATACATGATGTCTTCATTACACTTGGCTTCATCATCATACATGTTTCATCATCACACATGACTCCATCATTCCACATGACTCCATCATTACACTGGACTCAATCACTGCACATGACACCACCAGCACACCTGACTAAATCATCAAACATGACTCCATCATACCTGTCTCTATTATTACACACGACTCCATCATCATTCATGACTGCATCATCAAACATATTCCATTAACACACATGACTCCATCCTTATTCTTGGCTAAATCACCATTCATGATGCTTTCATTACACCTGGCTCCATCATCATACATGACTCCATCACTACACATGACTGAATTATCACACATGACTCAACATCACACATGACTGAATTATCACACAAGACTCCATCATCACATATGGCTCCATTATCACACATAACTACATCAAGAAATATTACTTACATGACTGCAAATGACTCCTCCATATATGGCTTATCACTATACATGACTTCCTCATTACACTTGGCTTCGTCATCACACACAAACCCAGCATCACACCTGAATCCATCTTCATGCATGGCTCCATCACCCATGATATTATTGCAACATCTGACCCCATAATGTCACACAACTCCAGTGGGATTGCTGACTCTATTAAAATAGATTGTCTGATCTGTTCCCACAGAAATGTCTACAGTTTCAGCTGGAGCAGACAGTCTGGCAAGCCAAGCAGCGGATCCTGACCGCTTTTGCAAAGGTGAGATCTAAAATTTACCAATGACAATTCTTGTTGTTGTTTTTGGTAGAATCACCAAAAACATAAACATGTGTGGTATGTGTTGAGTTGAGATTGGTTTCAAGAAGCAACGTCACAACACACGTGCATGTCTTTGGAAAAATAACCAGAGGATGCTAACTTCCCTGGACCTCTGAAGCGATGCCACTCTGCTTGGAGCATACCTCTCTCCACTTTTCTGAGTATGCAATTGTAATTGATACAGGTAAAGTCCAAGTTACAGGCACCACTTCATGTCATCAGATGTATTGGGTCTATAGTGGTAGCTTCCTGTTTTAGCCTGATCATCATTTAATGTGTAGTGGGATTATTACCATGTCCAGGAAATTCTCCTTAAAGGTTCCCTGGCTCTATTTTGGAGAACAAAGAACAGAACCAGTGTTCCCCTGAGCATTTTGTAGGAGGTGACTAATTGGGGTGTTTGCTTCAAGATGCATCTGCCTGAGAGACAAGGGACCTGCAGTATGCATATATAAATAAGCCAAACTCAAAAATGGATGTGCACACAAAACTGAAATATTGGACAAGCCGTGGGAATGGCCAAGGCATGAATGGGAGAGGAAGAAACTCTTATGTTATGGTGACCTGCGGGCAGGTTCCTGACAAGTACCTTTTTTTTTTTAAATGACTGCAACAATATGGTCTCTGTAAACTACAAAAATGGATACCATTTATTTTGTAGGAAAATCTTTAAGGAAACTCACCCAGTGGTAACTTAAGCATTCTATGAACTTTCTAGTGGCAATCTTTATAAAGAAACTCACCCAGTGGTAACTTGAGCATTGTATGAACTTTCTAGTGGCAGTCTGTATAAAGAAACTCACCCAGGGGTAACTTGAGCATTGTATGAACTTTCTAGTGGCAGTCTGTATAAAGAAACTCACCCAGGGGTAACTTAAGCATTGTATGAACTTTCTAGATGCAATCTTTATAAAGAAACTCACCCAGTGGTAACTTGAGCATTGTATGCACTTTCTAGTGACAATCTTTATAAAGAAACTCACCCAGTGGTAACTTGAGCATTGATTGCACTTTCTAGTGGGAATCTTTATAAAGAAACTCACCCAGTGGTAACTTGAAGTTTTTATGCATTTTCTAGTGACAATTTTCAAGGACATTCACCTCATGTTAACTTGAAATGTTGTGCATATTTTGTAGTGAAAATCTCATATGAAAATTCACCTCATGGTATCCGGAGTTGTGTTTGTATTTCCTAGGATCTTAAAGATGCCTTAAACTATGGCCTCTTTCTGCCTCCTGCCAATGGGAGGGCAGGAAAGTTCATGGAAGAGCAGAGAACTCTCAGTGAATACCCGATACAAGGACCAATTGGTTTCCTGGAGGTGAGTGTTGGTCTGGAATTTTCATATTTGATTTCCTAGAATTTGTATATGGTTGCTTTGTTAGTAGTAAATTCTGTAGAAGGCTAAGTTTTAACTATTAATTCCAATGCACTAGTTTTCATGCCATCTAAGCCCCAAAACAGTTTGTATCTCCAGGAGTATGGTTTGTTTAAAGAAAATGACCCTGGCCCAGTGCTAGAGTCATTATCATCATTACACACCTTATTGACTGACACTGAGAATCATGCTTTTTCACATCCAACAGCAGGTATTTTAGGTCACATGCAGACACCCTTCCATGTCATGACAACAGGCTGTCAAGAATATTTTCTTATTGTCTTCCTTTATTTCTCTTACCATAAGTATTCCAAAGCTTTGTGTGTTTTAAGGCTCATAGGGTACATAGTGTTGGCTCAGGGTTCAGTAGAGGTTATACCAATGGGATTTTGTTGGTAATCACAACTGTTTGTAACTCATTAGTAGAAAATTTAACTGGCAATATTCCATAGGTCGGGAGTCGCCGTGGTAAAGCAGCTAGACGCTCGGGTGTGGATCAGAAGGTCGTGGGTTTGCTCCCTGGTGGAGCCCGACAGTTTTAAAAAATGTACATTGACTCCCAGGTCAACCAGCCTTGAGTGGGTACCGGGTGCAGTCCTGGAAAGTAAAGGCAGCTGATCTTGTACCGATTGATCTATAAAAATGTAGGTCTAGCCCTATATGCCCTGTACACCTAAAGGCGTGGAAAAGGGACCTTTACTTTACTTAAATTTTATAGGTCAGAGCAGTTATTTTTATTTTTTCAGGTAGCACCCCCTTAAATATATGGCAAGACCTCCACCTCTTCCCCCCCCCCCCCCCCCTTTTTTTCTGCCAAAATAAAAAAAAATATTATTATTAAGAGGCCTGCTGATGAAAAAAAAAAAAACTTGGTTTGTTTTGTTTCATAAATAATATGAAAAGTATTTTATTTATAAACTGGGGAAAAAAGTTAGTATCACAAATAATCTCAAATAAAAATGCTCCATTTAAACATTGCATTATTTGATTGTGTACTCATACATATTTGATTGTATCTCATAATATGTGATGGTGCACTCACAGATATTTGATTGTGTACATTTAACAGTTCAAGTACAAGAGCCGCATCTACAAATTGATGCAGGTTAGCGAGAGGAAGCTGAAACAGATGCACTCCAAGGTAAGTGTCCAGAACAAAAGTCTGTGAAGGTCAATGCATGGATCGTGCTGATATTATTATTGCCCTCAGAGAAGTAAGAAGGGTGGAGGACTTTTGAGACAGCAATTTCACTTCACTGACCAGAATAAAAGACTCGGAAGTTAACTCTTTGAGTCCCAGGGGACTCTTTGATGCCCAATGGGTGGTAATGCAATTTTTTAATTTCACAAGTGTGAAAGATTAAACAGACCATACTAATTCAGTTGCCATGCAACATACACATATTATACATCAAAGTGACCAGGGAATGTTGATGAATAGTTTAAGCACAGAGCTAGAAGAAATGATTGCGTTAGTAATTAAAAATTAGAAAATAAACAGACGGTATGTTTACACAAATTAGTGAAATAAAAAAAAAATTCCCACTTACAACCATGGCACTCAAGAAAAACTGGTTAAAATGTATCCAAAATGAATCACAAATGAATATGAACCACTCAGTAATGTATAAGTAAAATATAAACTCAATCTATACATTAGATTTTGTTGGAGAGAATCTTTTCACACATCATAACAGAGCACTATTATTCGGTTTAAAAAAAAAAGGATTCCCAAAACAATAAGTATCTTCACGCACAATGAAGTTTATATAACACTCAATTTGCCTGTAATTTTGTAGCTATGCTCCTAAATAATTAAGGAAATAGCACTAGAACTAACTGACACTGAAGAAAATCATCTTACACTAATGTTTATTCTATGTGTGCCAGCTGACTTTGCTTTTGTTGTACCCTTCGCGTGAGGTACACATTAGACATATCCCTCATCAAAGTTTGACTCTATAAATGACTGAAACACATCTAATTTGCAACGTTATCTATCTAACTTCGGATAAATCTAAAAAAAACAGGTACTTCATTCAATTTTAGGCTTCTAAGGCCGTAAATCATGTTGGCATGCATGTAGAATAGTGCATGTCAGCCATATTCTTTTCAAACAAACACTTAGTAACTCAAGAATCTCACAAATATACTATATTTTCGGCTTTCAATCCATATTTCTGAATGAGAACGCCTGATATCAGACACAAAGAACTCGGAAGGAAGTTGAAATTCAGCGGTCTGCGTTTTACAACCGGTCAGCAGTAGATTAAAATCTTTCACTTGTCATGCGTCAATTGGGCCGCTAGGTTAAAACATATTTGTGTGTGATGTGTTCCCTGGGACTCAAAGAGTTAAGATTTGCATAGCCAAAAGCAAGAGACACACCAGGCATACAAAAAGACTAATCAGTTAACAAAGAACTGGCACTATTAGTCACAGGATGCTGAGGTTGATACTGAGGGAAGGATCTGTGCACCTATGGACATGACGGGAGTGTAATGATCATATCCCAACAACTAACTGACTAACACATGTCAGTGAACCAGTTACAGTTGACTGTACATTCCACCTCAAGAATAAATAAATATACTCAAGATGCTTTGTTAGCTGCAACCTGATTATCAAAGGTTAAAATGACTGCAATTATTTAACCTTCAGACTTTTAGGTCATGCGAAAGTAAATACAGTTTTACATTTCATGTTTAAATAAAGGTCATAAATGTGAAATTAAATAAAGAAGAGATTTTGCAGTGTAGACAGGATGGTCTTTGAGCCTGAGGATCTAGGGCCACATGGCCAAACTGAAGATTAGGATTTTTATGTGTCCCTGACAGAAAAACTCAAGACCTTATTGAGGTCAGCTGAAGCAACAGGAGATGTCTTCCATGAAATAATGAAGTGACTGCAGGTGACAAAAAACATTTGAAGCTAAGTCTGACTAAACAGTTTCACTAAAATGGGAGAGACTTCTTCAAACAGTTTAGGACAACCTTAACTGGTGGAACAGGATTCATTCATTCATTCAGTAGCATGTCCCTCGCGGAACCTCGCTGCCATAACAACCCTCCGGAAAACCTTCCTATCCTGAGCAAGATGTCCTGCGTCTGATACACCCATCTGGAGATCATCTGCCACATCCTGCACCTATCTTCTCCTTGGCCTTCCTCTTCCTCTCTTCCCAGGCATATACCCCTCCATTATTGTTCTCTCTAGACTTCCATGACGTTTCAAGTGACCAAAATATTTCAAGTAGCAAATATGCTTGTTTATGATTTAAGAGTACATAAATATATTGGTAAAATGATAACATTCATATGATGTGATGTGTCAGTGTGTTGTTACTGTGTCATTGTCAATCCTACTGAGTAATGTTTTCATCATTTGTAGGCCAAATTAAAAGTATTCCTTGAGTTTGTACGAGCTGGTAACACAAGCAAACTAACCAAATTAACCCTGAAGGGGCTTGATCCTAACTTTCATGATCTGGATAATGGAGGTGAGGTTTTCTCTGGTCCATTTGTTCTAATGTATACCTGATAAGAATGTGACAGATTAGAATTAGATTACTATTAATTTTTTTTTAAAATCTGTCATCAAAGTTAGATACTTCTTTGACTTCTCTGTTTTATTATTTAAAAAAATAATTTATATATTTATCATCAGGAGTAGATAACCTTCATTTCTTTTGTGTAACTACTTTTCTTCTCTCTCTCTCTCTCCCTCTCTCTCTCTCTTATATATAAATATATGTATATATATAAATATGTATATATATAAATATATATATATATATATATATATATATATATATATATATATATATATATATATATATATATATATATATATTGTTGGATTCCACATAAATGCAAAGCTTCTTTTAATTTGCTCAGTTCTCCACCTCTTTGCCTTCACCTCCTGAGCTGTGTAAGATAATGTTGTGTGACTTTTCTCCAGAAACTCCACTGACAACGGCAGTGACCTTGGGCAAGTCAAAAGTCCGGGAAATTATCATGACTCTGATCAGTGGGGGAGCTCACCTGGATTTCAGGAACAAGCAAGGTCTCACTGCCCTTCACCGGGCAGCCATTGTTGGCAACACTGAAGCTATCAGGGTAATCTACTTGTTTCCATATCAGTTGATACCATAGGCTGGTTATGACAATTCTATAATTACTCCATGACAAATAATATGCCTTGCTAGATAGCATTGGTGCTCATGTCTCTCAACAAACCATAGTTCTTAGCTGATGTGAATCTTTTGGATTGGTGATATTCCTTGTTGCTAACATGTTAAGTCATACAGTATAATTTATCTTGGCCTGCCTTTTCTGCCACTGATCGTTCCATTGGGAGCCCTCATAATGTTCTTCTGTGCTTCCATTCTCATCATATCATTATCTCTGTCTTTTAGTTGTTTTTAATTTTATTCTTGTTTCTTAGCTTTTCCTTTATAATCCTGGTTTATGACTAGGAAAGATATAAACCTGAATGAAAAGTACACAGTATAACAAACATGAATAAAACATGAACATTGTGGCTATGGAGCCTTCATCAGCACATACACAAATTAGGCATTACTAGACATATGACTAAGCTGCCCATAGTATTCACTACATTTATCACCACAGTCTTTTCTTTATCAGTTTTTTCACATTTTATGATTAATTGGCATACAGCAGAACATGTTCAATTTAACACGTTAAACACTAGGTATAAGAAGTTAAGATGGCTGTGAATCTTAGAAAACTTTAAATTCAGTCACTCATGAACAAGTCTACAAAGTGCTTCGACTGGGATAGTTAAACATCTGTGCTCATTTTGGAAGATGGATGACACACAAACACACCAAAAAAAAAAGAGGAAGTAACCTTTACCCAGACATATCAGTCTGTATGTATTCTTGACTGAATGAATAAACTAAATTTTAAGCATATCCTTGAGAAGTGACAGGCTCTTGAAATAAATCACTAATTACTTACATGGCATGTCTCTGTAATTTCATCATCATCATCATGATTAGTGGGGGCAATTATAGTTTACCATCTCTCACCATAATGAAAGTCATGGACTGTGTACACATTGTTGTCCCAGTCAAGTCACATGGCTAAGCCATCCAAGGTTTGTCTCCCCTTTCATCTTTAACTAACATAATACTTTCTTTTGTATCACGTACTTGTGTCTACATAGACTTAGCTGTATATCCTGTGTCTGTGTGTGTGCGTGGGTCTGTGCGCATGGGCACCTGTACAGACTTTTCTGTATCATGTGTGTTTTGAATGCACAGAGTTTGCTGTATATTCTGTGCCTGTGTGTGTCTGTACAGACTTTACTGGACTTGGGTGCTTCACCAGACAGCAGAGACTCCAAGGAACTGACTCCCCTCTACTACAGCGTGTCCAATGATGACTCACACCAGGAGTGCACCTACTTACTGCTACATGAGAGAGCCAGTGTTGGTGTCTGTGATGAGCAAGGCTGGTATGAGATTCACCAGGTATTGGCCAGTGTCATCTCTTCTGCTTCCTTACAGTCATTATCTCATTAGTCCAGGCCTATGTCTGTGGTAGGACATTTTTTTTTAAAGATGCTGGAGGCTAGTGAAAGGGGATATCAGTAAACATAAGCAAAGCAGTGTACTAAAAAAAAAAAGACAAAATAATAAATTCTCTACATTTTCTAAAAATATCTTTCCCTTTAAGTTATCACATTGACATCACTCCACATTGGGAATTCTCATGCATGCATGCTCAGTCTCCTAATGCAGCAGCCACTCCAAGGTACCTCTGCTTATTGTTTCCATGAGAAGTTGTTTATTGTTTCTCCTGTCTTGACCTCAAAGATGGCATAGATCAAGCCTTATTCCCAGATCACGCAAGTGTGTTAGCATAAGCGATTCATCTTCATAATCCTCCAAACTAGACCATACAGTATTGATGCTATCAGCTCTCTCCTTACATCTTCCCATTTGCAAGCTGGTCAGCGCTTTTTTTACCTTTTACACCTGCATGCCCACAAGTGTAGATCAAGATCATGGAGGTTGACTGTGACTTTCAAATGCTTTCTACCCATCCAAAGGATAAGCTATCTGTTGTGATTTTCTATAACATCTTCATGGATCTTTCCCGTGTCTGTTCTAAGGCCTGATTCTGAGAGGGGGGGGGGGGGGGGATTTGGGGGGGGGGGGGGGGGGTTTGGGACAAGAAAAGGAACAACCGACTTCCCTCTAACATAAATGTAACTTCATATTTGTGACAACAGTAACGGCAATATCATCAAGGTTCACAAATGCATGATTAGGTGAAGTTACAAATGAAAGTATTGTGAATTATTTAGTAGCATCATTATCCTCAACAAGCGTCTTGCTGACTGGCATGGATAGTCATGCCTCTCTGCTATCTTTGATCTCTAATAGCTAGCATCACCATGTACTGACAGCTCTCCCTGGCATGGATAGTCATGCCTCTCTGCTATCTTTGATCTCTAATAGCTAGCATCACCATGTACTGACAGCTCTCCCTGGCATTTATAGTCATGCCTCTCCGCTATCTTTGATCTCTAATAGCTAGCATCACCATGTACTGACAGCTCTCCCTGGCATGGATAGTCATGCCTCTCCGCTATCTTTGATCTCTAATAGCTAGCATCACCATGTACTGACAGCTTTCCCTGGCATGGATAGTCATGCCTCTCCGCTATCTTTGATCTCTAATAGCTAGCATCACCATGTACTGACAGCTCTCCCTGGCATGGATAGTCATGCCTCTCTGCTATCTTTGATCTCTAATAGCTAGCATCACCATGTACTGACAGCTCTCCCTGGCATGGATAGTCATGCCTCTCTGCTATCTTTGATCTCTAATAGCTAGCATCACCATGTACTGACAGCTCTCCCTGGCATGGATAGTCATGCCTCTCTGCTATCTTTGATCTCTAATAGCTAGCATCACCATGTACTGACAGCTCTCCCTGGCATGGATAGTCATGCCTCTCTGCTATCTTTGATCTCTAATAGCTAGCATCACCATGTACTGACAGCTCTCCCTGGCATTTATAGTCATGCCTCTCTGCTATCTTTGATCTCTAATAGCTAGCATCACCATGTACTGACAGCTCTCCCTGGCATGGATAGTCATGCCTCTCCGCTATCTTTGATCTCTAATAGCTAGCATCACCATGTACTGACAGCTCTCCCTGGCATGGATAGTCATGCCTCTCTGCTATCTTTGATCTCTAATAGCTAGCATCACCATGTACTGACAGCTCTCCCTGGCATTTATAGTCATGCCTCTCCGCTATCTTTGATCTCTAATAGCTAGCATCACCATGTACTGACAGCTCTCCCTGGCATGGATAGTCATGCCTCTCTGCTATCTTTGATCTCTAATAGCTAGCATCACCATGTACTGACAGCTCTCCCTGGCATTTATAGTCATGCCTCTCTGCTATCTTTGATCTCTAATAGCTAGCATCACCATGTACTGACAGCTCTCCCTGGCATGGATAGTCATGCCTCTCTGCTATCTTTGATCTCTAATAGCTAGCATCACCATGTACTGACAGCTCTCCCTGGCATTTATAGTCATGCCTCTCCGCTATCTTTGATCTCTAATAGCTAGCATCATCATGTACCGACAGCTCTCCCTGGCATTTATAGTCATGCCTCTCCGCTATCTTTGATCTCTAATAGCTAGCATCACCATGTACCGACAGCTCTCCCTGGCATGGATAGTCATGCCTCTCCGCTATCTTTGATCTCTAATAGCTAGCATCACACATGTACTGACAGCTCTCCCTGGCATGGATAGTCATGCCTCTCCGCTATCTTTGATCTCTAATAGCTAGCATCACCATGTACTGACAGCTCTCCCTGGCATTTATAGTCATGCCTCTCCGCTATCTTTGATCTCTAATAGCTAGCATCACCATGTACTGACAGCTCTCCCTGGCATGGATAGTCATGCCTCTCCGCTATCTTTGATCTCTAATAGCTAGCATCACCATGTACCGACAGCTCTCCCTGGCATGGATAGTCATGCCTCTCCGCTATCTTTGATCTCTAATAGCTAGCATCACCATGTACCGACAGCTCTCCCTGGCATTTATAGTCATGCCTCTCCGCTATCTTTGATCTCTAATAGCTAGCATCACCATGTACTGACAGCTCTCCCTGGCATTTATAGTCATGCCTCTCCGCTATCTTTGATCTCTAATAGCTAGCATCACCATGTACTGACAGCTCTCCCTGGCATTTATAGTCATGCCTCTCCGCTATCTTTGATCTCTAATAGCTAGCATCACCATGTACTGACAGCTCTCCCTGGCATTTATAGTCATGCCTCTCCGCTATCTTTGATCTCTAATAGCTAGCATCACCATGTACTGACAGCTCTCCCTGGCATGGATAGTCATGCCTCTCCGCTATCTTTGATCTCTAATAGCTAGCATCACCATGTACTGACAGCTCTCCCTGGCATGGATAGTCATGCCTCTCCGCTATCTTTGATCTCTAATAGCTAGCATCACCATGTACTGACAGCTCTCCCTGGCATGGATAGTCATGCCTCTCCGCTATCTTTGATCTCTAATAGCTAGCATCACCATGTACTGACAGCTCTCCCTGGCATGGATAGTCATGCCTCTCCGCTATCTTTGATCTCTAATAGCTAGCATCACCATGTACTGACAGCTCTCCCTGGCATGGATAGTCATGCCTCTCCGCTATCTTTGATCTCTAATAGCTAGCATCACCATGTACTGACAGCTCTCCCTGGCATGGATAGTCATGCCTCTCCGCTATCTTTGATCTCTAATAGCTAGCATCACCATGTACTGACAGCTCTCCCTGGCATGGATAGTCATGCCTCTCTGCTATCTTTGATCTCTAATAGCTAGCATCACCATGTACTGACAGCTCTCCCTGGCATTTATAGTCATGCCTCTCCGCTATCTTTGATCTCTAATAGCTAGCATCACCATGTACTGACAGCTCTCCCTGGCATGGATAGTCATGCCTCTCTGCTATCTTTGATCTCTAATAGCTAGCATCACCATGTACTGACAGCTCTCCCTGGCATTTATAGTCATGCCTCTCTGCTATCTTTGATCTCTAATAGCTAGCATCACCATGTACTGACAGCTCTCCCTGGCATGGATAGTCATGCCTCTCTGCTATCTTTGATCTCTAATAGCTAGCATCACCATGTACTGACAGCTCTCCCTGGCATTTATAGTCATGCCTCTCCGCTATCTTTGATCTCTAATAGCTAGCATCACCATGTACCGACAGCTCTCCCTGGCATTTATAGTCATGCCTCTCCGCTATCTTTGATCTCTAATAGCTAGCATCACCATGTACCGACAGCTCTCCCTGGCATGGATAGTCATGCCTCTCCGCTATCTTTGATCTCTAATAGCTAGCATCACCATGTACTGACAGCTCTCCCTGGCATGGATAGTCATGCCTCTCCGCTATCTTTGATCTCTAATAGCTAGCATCACCATGTACTGACAGCTCTCCCTGGCATTTATAGTCATGCCTCTCCGCTATCTTTGATCTCTAATAGCTAGCATCACCATGTACTGACAGCTCTCCCTGGCATGGATAGTCATGCCTCTCCGCTATCTTTGATCTCTAATAGCTAGCATCACCATGTACCGACAGCTCTCCCTGGCATGGATAGTCATGCCTCTCCGCTATCTTTGATCTCTAATAGCTAGCATCACCATGTACCGACAGCTCTCCCTGGCATTTATAGTCATGCCTCTCCGCTATCTTTGATCTCTAATAGCTAGCATCACCATGTACTGACAGCTCTCCCTGGCATTTATAGTCATGCCTCTCCGCTATCTTTGATCTCTAATAGCTAGCATCACCATGTACTGACAGCTCTCCCTGGCATTTATAGTCATGCCTCTCCGCTATCTTTGATCTCTAATAGCTAGCATCACCATGTACTGACAGCTCTCCCTGGCATTTATAGTCATGCCTCTCCGCTATCTTTGATCTCTAATAGCTAGCATCACCATGTACTGACAGCTCTCCCTGGCATGGATAGTCATGCCTCTCCGCTATCTTTGATCTCTAATAGCTAGCATCACCATGTACTGACAGCTCTCCCTGGCATGGATAGTCATGCCTCTCCGCTATCTTTGATCTCTAATAGCTAGCATCACCATGTACTGACAGCTCTCCCTGGCATGGATAGTCATGCCTCTCCGCTATCTTTGATCTCTAATAGCTAGCATCACCATGTACTGACAGCTCTCCCTGGCATGGATAGTCATGCCTCTCCGCTATCTTTGATCTCTAATAGCTAGCATCACCATGTACTGACAGCTCTCCCTGGCATGGATAGTCATGCCTCTCCGCTATCTTTGATCTCTAATAGCTAGCATTACCATGTACTGACAGCTCTCCCTGGCATGGATAGTCATGCCTCTCTGCTATCTTTGATCTCTAATAGCTAGCATCACCATGTACCGACAGCTCTCCCTGGCATGGATAGTCATGCCTCTCCGCTATCTTTGATCTCTAATAGCTAGCATCACCATGTACTGACAGCTCTCCCTGGCATGGATAGTCATGCCTCTCTGCTATCTTTGATCTCTAATAGCTAGCATCACCATGTACTGACAGCTCTCCCTGGCATGGATAGTCATGCCTCTCCGCTATCTTTGATCTCTAATAGCTAGCATCACCATGTACCGACAGCTCTCCCTGGCATTGATAGTCATGCCTCTCTGCTATCTTTGATCTCTAATAGCTAGCATCACCATGTACTGACAGCTCTCCCTGGCATTTATAGTCATGCCTCTCTGCTATCTTTGATCTCTAATAGCTAGCATCACCATGTACTGACAGCTCTCCCTGGCATGGATAGTCATGCCTCTCTGCTATCTTTGATCTCTAATAGCTAGCATCACCATGTACTGACAGCTCTCCCTGGCATTTATAGTCATGCCTCTCCGCTATCTTTGATCTCTAATAGCTAGCATCACCATGTACCGACAGCTCTCCCTGGCATGGATAGTCATGCCTCTCCGCTATCTTTGATCTCTAATAGCTAGCATCACCATGTACTGACAGCTCTCCCTGGCATGGATAGTCATGCCTCTCCGCTATCTTTGATCTCTAATAGCTAGCATCACCATGTACTGACAGCTCTCCCTGGCATTTATAGTCATGCCTCTCCGCTATCTTTGATCTCTAATAGCTAGCATCACCATGTACTGACAGCTTTCCCTGGCATGGATAGTCATGCCTCTCCGCTATCTTTGATCTCTAATAGCTAGCATCACCATGTACCGACAGCTCTCCCTGGCATGGATAGTCATGCCTCTCCGCTATCTTTGATCTCTAATAGCTAGCATCACCATGTACCGACAGCTCTCCCTGGCATTTATAGTCATGCCTCTCCGCTATCTTTGATCTCTAATAGCTAGCATCACCATGTACTGACAGCTCTCCCTGGCATTTATAGTCATGCCTCTCCGCTATCTTTGATCTCTAATAGCTAGCATCACCATGTACTGACAGCTCTCCCTGGCATTTATAGTCATGCCTCTCCGCTATCTTTGATCTCTAATAGCTAGCATCACCATGTACTGACAGCTCTCCCTGGCATTTATAGTCATGCCTCTCCGCTATCTTTGATCTCTAATAGCTAGCATCACCATGTACTGACAGCTCTCCCTGGCATGGATAGTCATGCCTCTCCGCTATCTTTGATCTCTAATAGCTAGCATCACCATGTACTGACAGCTCTCCCTGGCATGGATAGTCATGCCTCTCCGCTATCTTTGATCTCTAATAGCTAGCATCACCATGTACTGACAGCTCTCCCTGGCATGGATAGTCATGCCTCTCCGCTATCTTTGATCTCTAATAGCTAGCATCACCATGTACTGACAGCTCTCCCTGGCATGGATAGTCATGCCTCTCCGCTATCTTTGATCTCTAATAGCTAGCATCACCATGTACTGACAGCTCTCCCTGGCATGGATAGTCATGCCTCTCCGCTATCTTTGATCTCTAATAGCTAGCATCACCATGTACTGACAGCTCTCCCTGGCATGGATAGTCATGCCTCTCTGCTATCTTTGATCTCTAATAGCTAGCATCACCATGTACCGACAGCTCTCCCTGGCATGGATAGTCATGCCTCTCCGCTATCTTTGATCTCTAATAGCTAGCATCACCATGTACTGACAGCTCTCCCTGGCATGGATAGTCATGCCTCTCTGCTATCTTTGATCTCTAATAGCTAGCATCACCATGTACTGACAGCTCTCCCTGGCATGGATAGTCATGCCTCTCCGCTATCTTTGATCTCTAATAGCTAGCATCACCATGTACCGACAGCTCTCCCTGGCATGGATAGTCATGCCTCTCTGCTATCTTTGATCTCTAATAGCTAGCATCACCATGTACTGACAGCTCTCCCTGGCATTTATAGTCATGCCTCTCTGCTATCTTTGATCTCTAATAGCATGATAAAAGGCTGTCAAGAATCTTCTTGTGTTGTCTTCTTCTATTGAAAATAAAGTTCGTTCCTTCGTTTGTTCGTTTTCCTTCTATAAATCATTTCACTTGTCACAGTTTTGTCAAATTTTCCCTTTTCTCATAATGTTTCCAAAAACTTATGACTGTCTGCTTCTGATGTTTGTGATAATTTGGCTTCAGGCCTTCACCTCTTTCAAAATTTATGAGTTATAAATTCTAGCTGTCTAAGAAATGTTAATCATTTCTCTATAAAACCACATGTCTGAGGCCTCAATAAATTGACTTTTTAATTAATTTTCTAGAATTCACAGCCCTATGTTAACAGTGGCTTAATACAGCATGTGATCATTGGTTTTCTAACTTCTCGTGGCATGGATTTACTATGCAAGAAGCTCTTTATTTTATAAAAAACAGTTTTTGTCTGTCATTTTCTTTCTTTATCTCTGTGAAACATCTTTCATCTGATGTTATCCATGTGCCTAGGTACTTCTGCGCTTGCAAAGTCTTTGTTTCTTCCACAGTCTCGAAGAGGAGTGGAGTAACATAGGCAGTCACACACAGCCTTAGTTTTTGTGTGTGTTTATGATGACTGTTCATGACAGTTCCTCATGCTGTTAGGAAAATGGGAGCAGAAAAAGAAAGAGAAGAAAAGTAAAAAGAATGAGAAATGGATGGCAAGGATTCAGATTTCTCTGAGTTGAGTTGAGCTGAGTTAAGAATTGACATCACGGCACTCGGGGCATTTCCATATGTGCTCCTGCTTCATCCTTAGCAGCCAGAGCAGAGTTCCAGTACAAATGGTGCCAGTCGTTCTCTGGTTGTATGTCTGTCTTGCCTTTCCTCTGAGCGTAGTGTGCCAGCCGAACCCTCTAGTGACACACAGATTCATCATTTCCTCCAGTCCATAACAATCTAGTTTCATTTCTACTTGGTTTCTTGTTCCTAAAGGGCTCAGACCACATCTGCCTTGTCATGTATCAGTTCACCACTCAGCAGTGCAGATCCATCCAGTCTGTCTGCCTGTTTATTCCCCATCACGCTGGCACAGCCTGGAGAAAAGATCCAAAGTATGCATACTACCTGTGAGCATATTCCTGTGAGAAATAATTAAAAACTAGACCTGACAAGTCCGGTGGTATTTATATGTATATGTGTCAGATTGTGCTTGTCCCAGTATGTGCCATAAACAACATTTATCTGAAGATCCTACATTGCAGGTTGTGACTTCTCTTTATGATTTTGCCTGCAAACCTGAATATTTTTTTTGGGGTTGTTGTTCAGGCCTGCAAGTACGGCCGTGTGCAACATCTGGAGCATCTGCTGTTTTATGGAGCAGAGATGGATGTGAGAAACTCATGTGGAAACACTCCACTTCATGTCTGTGCTCTCAGCAATCAGGAGGCCTGTGCCCGGGTGTTGCTGTTCCGTGGAGCCGACCCAGCCGTACTCAACTACAACAACCAAACAGCTGATCAGGCTGCAGCCATGGCTGGCAACTCTCACATTGCCAAAATGATAACTTCACACAATGCTGATGATGTGGGTGAGTAGTCCGACAGAAGGTTTGGATTTGAGTCTGTACCGAGTCAGATTTTTATAACTGGCTACTTAGTCAACCAAATTTAAAATGGGTTCCAGGAATGTTCTAAGAAATAAAGCTGGCTGCATTCTGTTGTCCAAATCATTCATCCTAAACCACGTAGAAAAACAAATGAGTCTGAATGAATGAATCAGTAAATCAATCAAGAATTGACATATCTGCACTCAGGATATACCCATTTGGGCTCCATCTCCAGCCTCAGTAGCCAGCAAAAAGTTGACATGCTAATAGTACCAGATGTAACCTGATAACAGTCCGTCTCTGCTCGCCCTTCAATGTTGAATATCTTCCACAACCTCTACTCACCTGCTGTTGAATTAGTCTTTTAGTGAATGGATTTTCTGTCTGCTCTGTTGCACTCTCCATATGATCCTTGAGAGGCTTTACCATCTCTGCTTTATCATAAAGTAACCCAACACCCAAAGGAGCGGCAGCAGCCAGTTTATCAACCTGCTTATTACTCTGCACACCCAAATTTCCTGGACAGAAAAAATCTATGATATACTCCTGATCTGATTCTTTTCAATTGATGCAAACCACTCTGCATCTGGGACTAAGTAAAGTAAATAAAGTAAAGGACCCTTTTCCACGCCTTTAGGTATATAGGGCATATAGGACTAAACATATATATTATAGACCAATCTACACAAGATGGGTGATTTTGTCAGCATCACGCCGGCCACCTTTACTTCCCGGGACTGCACCCAGTACCGACTTAAGGCTGGGTCTACCTGGGAGCCAAGGTCATTTTTAAAGCATGTAGGACTACTTTTTCAATTTTCTAAAGCAAAATCATTGAGTCCAAAAATCAGTTTAACACCAAATGCCTAACGAATATTTACCATGAAAAAGGTCCTTCATTTATTTTACTTATTACTATCACTATCATCACCATCATCAACTGTTTTCACTTTATTCATTCCATGACTGCAGCTTTAGTGATGGTTACCCCTCCTAACTGTTTCTGTTTCCAGTGCCTTACAAAGAATTTCCCCAGTTCAGTGACCGGAGGAAGGGAGCATCCCTCACTCCATCTCTCCGTGTCTTAATGAGAAGTCGCAGTGATCCGAGGATTAATCTGGCTGGATTAGATAGCTACTCTGCATCCTCATCACCCCGTGGACTTCAGAACCGACGCCAGAATGGTCGTGCTGGGATGATGGACTGGGACTCTGCGTGCTCTCTCAGTGTTTCCAGTTCTGGCTCAAGTAAGCTTTTATGGGAGGATGTGTTATTACTGAAACACAAACATCCACATATACACTCACAGACACACACATATTCAATCACATATAATACACTCCTGCACAATCTCTCTCACTCTCCCTCTCTCTTACTCTCCCTCCCTCTCTCCCTCTCACTCTTCCTCTCCCTCTCTCTCACTCTCCCCCTCTCTCTCTCTCTCTCTCTCACTCTCCCTCTCACTCTTCCTCGCACTCTTCCTCTCCCTCACTCTCCCTCTCTTTCACTCTCCCTCTCTTTCACTCTCCCTCTCACTCTCCCTCTCACTCTCCCTCTCTCTCACTCTCCCTCTCTCTCACTCTCCCCCTCTCTCACTCTCCCTCTCTCTCACTCTCCCTCTCCCTCTCTCTCCCCCTCTCTCTCTCTCTCCCTCTCACTCTCCCTCTCACTCTCCCTCTCACTCTTCCTCTCACTCTCCCTCTCTCTCACTCTCCCTCTCACTCTTCCTCTCACTCTCCCTCTCTCTCCCCCTCTCTCACTCTCCCTCTCTCTCACTCTCCCTCTCTCTCCCTCTCTCTCACTCTCCCTTTCTCTCACTCTCACTCTCTCTCCCTCTCTCTCACTCTCCCTTTCTCTCACTCTCCCTCTCTCTCACTCTCCCTCTCACTCTCCCTCTCCCTCTCACTCTCCCTCTCTCTCACTCTCCCTCTCTCTCACTCTCCCTCTCTCTCACTCTCCCTCTCACTCTCCCTCACTCTCCCTCTCTCTCAATCTCCCTCTCACTCTACCTCTCTCTCACTCTCCCTCTCTCTCACTCTCCCTCCCTCTCACTCTCCCTCTCTCTCACTCTGTCTCTAAAACACATGCACAGTGAAACTTTTTGTTTTACATGTCCTTTTACACTCGCAAACTGTGTCACATTTTTTAATCTTACAGTTGCACCCTTTCACTTACTATCACTTTCACCCTCTTTCACACTCACTTGCTAATCACTCTGATATAAGTGTGAACAAATTCTCACATCTAACAAACCAAATATATAATTCACACTCTGTGTCTAATCATTCTGTATTTCAGTCACAAGTGCACCTGATTATATTTCTGTTCATGTTTCAGTGACCAACACACCTGATCAAGTCTATGATGGCAGCTACATGTCACAATCTAACATGCGCAAAGGTGAATCATCACAATTTAATGCACAGTTAGACTATGATGATACTTAGATTTATGAGTTTAAACATATACTTAGTCTTTGATGATGGGGATTGTTATCTTATCCCATTTTAGGGAAAATCAAGAATAGACCCACTGTCCCCCTAACATGTATGTGTTTCCTTTGAAGTCTAAGTGCATCTGCCTAAGAGGAACCAACATTCTGCTTACAAATAAGCCACATCTGTAAAACAGAGGTACATGCAACAGTCAAGTTCTGAAACAAGATAAAGTCCAGAAGGGGCAAACAACCAGAACTTTCCTCCAGAGTTTACAGCTGGTGAATGCAAAGAAGAAGAAGAAGAATAAGAAGAAGAAGAAGAAGTAGAAGAAGAAGAAGTAGGCAATGTTGATGAAGTAGATGATGATGATGAAGTAGATGATAACGATGAACTAGATGATGAAGTAGACGATGATGATGAAGTAGATGATGATGATGAAGTAGATGATGATGTTGAAGTAGACGATGATGATGAATTAGATGATGATGATCAAGTAGACAATGACGAAGAAGTAGATAATGATGATGAAGTAGACGATGATGATGAAGTAGATGATGATGATGAAGTAGATTATGATGTTGAAGTAGATGATGACGATGAAGTAGATGATGACGATTAAGTAGACGATGACAATGAAGAAGATGATAATGAAGAAGAAGAAACCTAACCTATAGAATGGTCAATGGAACTGTTTAAACTTTTCTGAAAACTGTCTTGTGGTGAGAAAGCAAATTGGACACACCCACCACATTATTCCATGTTTTAGTTGCGTATCCTGTACAGGACGTTGCAGAACCGACCCTAGCATTTTTTGGTTGTTGTGGTTTTTCTTGGCAAATTTATGTCCAATAGTTTGCCATTCATTATTCCATGACCTGTTTTAAATAAGAGCCTAAAGCTTTGACCTTGGCATTTTTAGTTAAACAGTCCCACAACCCAGGATTTCTAGAGAATGCTTGGTCATTCAGTGAGGTCAGAATCCGAGTATTAGACTTGAGTGTGACTTGCAGTTGGAGTTTTGTGCAGTGACTTGTGACTTGACTTGTGACATGTAGCTTAGGCGAATTTGTATGACTCGTTTTGCATAGCCAGTCACTGTGAAGTTTGGTGATCAGTGTTACAATTTAAAACTTCTTCATTTAAAACAGGACATAATAAATCTGTTTCATTTTATCATGCTTTCACCTTCAACTTCTGCTTTTATGTATAACTCAGTGGTTTCTTTACAATGCCACTTCCAGTTTTGTATTGTCACCATTTCTGATTGTTCCATGCATGACTTGCAAATGACTTGACACATGAAGTGACTTGGCTTAGGACACAAGCATGTCCCCCCCCCCCCCCCCACACACACTCTCAAACACTCACACACACACATACACTCTCTCACACTCACACATTCACCCACACCCACACACACACATTTTTTAAAACCAGCCATTGACAGTGAACAAGCAATATTTTTGGCAACTCAAGTTTTAAACAGAAGACACAAAACAGCAGTAATTAATTAATATTGGGATGTAGTGAGGCTCTGAATTCACTCTGTGATTTCCATTGTTACTAGTGAGATTATTATTTTCTATCCATTGTTACTAGGAAATACATATGCCAAACTGCATATGAGATTTGTTTACAACATAATATCTGGGAGAAAGGCGAGGATAAGACCAAAAAAGAGATAGATAAAAGTTGTAGCTGAAACCTGCATAAAGATGCACAAATCCACCACCCAAGAAGCGCAAGACAAAAACATAAAACTGTGACACTGGGCTACAACCTGGTATCAGTGAGTTGACAAAAGAAGAAGACAAAGAACTACACTTGATGAAACTGTCCTCACAAGATGATATTCATGATGATAAGTTCATAAATGTAGTGATGAAGATGTATCTTATTGTAGCTGCACTGACATCTGTTTATAAATATGTTCACTTCTTCTCCACAGCTGGATCCATGGATCAGTTGGATAGTATGTCAAGGGTAGCCAATCGCTTGAATACTCTGCGAACATTAAGCAGAGTGGAGAGGTAAGAGTTGTCTCTCTTATCATGTTGTTAATTTGTCTTGAGCCTTTCTTCTTGTTTTTTTTTTCTGCCTATCTGTCTGTCTAGTTGATGTCATGTCTGCCTTTTAGTCTGGCTGCTTTCCTGTCTGTTATTGTGTCTGCCTATATGCAGTTATGTCTGCATTGCTATCTGTCTTTCTATGGGGCTTTATGTTTGCTTTCTTCTCTGCTTCATATCTGCCTTTCTTTTTTTCTACAAACATGTCTGCTTTTATGTCTGTCTATCTTCATATGTCACTTAACTCTTTATATCCCAGGAGGTGTAGCATAAGAGACCCAGTGGGTAGCAAATTGAAACATAAAAGCGGCACATCTTTTATTCAAGGGCTTCTAGGGAGGAACCTATGAAAGCAGGATGCATTCCTTGGCACCGAATGAGTTAATGCCTCTTTGCTTTCACATCTGGGTTTTTTTATCAGTCTGTTGTTCATTGTGTCTGTCCTCTTAGCTTTTGTTATTGCGATGATTCTCTTTTATCTTCTACTGGCTCGCCTCATCGCACGCTCGCTGCCAACTCACAAAACCGACATCACACGTCGAGCAGAAAAAATGGACGACTGGGAAACAACACGATACTGTTCCAGTACTTTATTCTTCCACTCGCGGCTTACACAGCCGGCACATGAACTTGACAACTGTCCAGGCACACATTATAATGCAAGAATCAATTATTACCTTCAAGCAGAAATCCCAATCGATTTACACTAACATCGTAAACGAAACACAACAGCTGTCCTGACAGATACACTCAGACGACCGGCAGACATGTTACTGGCCAGCTTTCTTCGCCAAGTTGGACTGGAACAAATTCACTCAAAAACATCTGCTGAATTCACACATCATCCACCGCTGTCCATGCACACTGTTCCTGGGTCCAAAACGAGACTGCCCACAAACCTTTTCCTCGCTATTATATAGCCCTCTGATCTATCCTGTTCTAGAATATTCTGGATTCATTCTCACGAATTTCCCACTGTTGAAAGTCGTGTCTGGCCCGTGATAATTCACATTTCACATAAATCCTGTGAACAATCATGTTTCACATAAAAACCTGACTTTCAGATGAAACTCAAGACATAAATCTCGTGTTATCTCAGCCAGTCAAAACATTCGTCTTACATCTATTACTGACGTCATCTATCGGGCATAAATTAATGAGGAGAAAATGACTCACTACATTCTCCCCCACCCCAAAAAAATGTTTTACATTTTCAATTAATCAGGTGTGAACATTTCACTGAACATTGTGATTCTAGACCTTTGTAGTGAATCATTTTCGACAAGTTCATTTCCAACCAAGTTCCCTTTACCTCATTTAGGTTAACAATTCAAACACTCTAAAATGCCATCTGTTGGGTCCTTGCACGACTGTGAATATCTTAATGGGATCCTCACCCCAGGCACTCCCCTTTTAGTGCGGAAGACCAATAATCTGGCTCCATAGGTATCCCCACCCAGTTCTAAAGTCGGTATACCACCGAACCCCTCTCCTGGCACCCCCCGATCGGTGCGGAAGTCCAAAAATCTTGGCTCTAAAACCGAAGTGTGACCCCATGAAGTCCCACCCTCGCTATTCCCATTCATGAAAGCCCTCAACAATGGCTAAATCAGCAATGTATGGTTTTGTTCCCAAATATGTAAGGTACAAGATGTAGTTAATTACCTTGTCTTCAGAAACTACAACATGTCTCATTAAAACACATATTCAAATTAAATGCTACACCAATTCAATTTAGTATACTAGTAAATGTAACATTTTCTGGTGAGGTGTATTTTAACACTGAATGTTGTCTCCCTTTAATTGTTTACTATATTATACCCGTTCAAATCAAAATATATACATTTATCCTAGTTGTAAATTCATATAATACATTCATACAATAATACAATGCATACCCTTGTATAAAATGATTTCAGTTAGTACCAGTTGTAATAGCAGTTGCAACATCTTCTACAAACGTGACATGATATCTGGTAAATGGTTGTCTGTTCCTTTGATGTGTTCAATGTTAAATTTGAATTGTGATATCAACAATGCCCATCTATATACCCTTGGATTGCTATTGGCATCAATTGTTAATAATTTTGTCAATCCCAAGTTATCTGTTAAAATAGTGAATTCTTTTCCCAAAAGAAACTTCTGAAACTTTTTTAGACTAATAACTAGTGCCAACGCTTCTCGTTCAAATGTATTGTATTTTTGTTGAGTTTGGTTAAGTTTCTGTGACATATACATTACTGGGAGTAATGTTTGTGAATGTTTCTGCGCAAGCATGCTAGCTATTGTGTGACCGCTGGCATCTGATTGTAGAAAAAATCTTTTGGAAGGGTCAGGTTGTCTCAAAATAGGATATTTTGAAAAACATTTTTTTATATTAACTAGAATTTCCTCATGTGTCTCATTCCAATCTGATTTTTTTAATTGTTGATTCTTTAATAACTCTGATAGTGGTGATGTTAGTGCTGCTAAATTTGGGATGAATTTACCATAATAGTTTATTAACCCTAGTAGAGATTGGAGCTGCTTTTTTGTTTTAGGTTTTTGGATCTTCAAAATTTTCGAAACAATGTTTTCATCTGTTTGGACTAAACCTTCGCATATAACATGTCCTAAGTAATCAATTTTGGTGTATGCAATTTTAGTTTTTAAAGGATTAACTGTCAATTTTGCGTCATTTATTCTTGATAGGACTTTTTGTAGGGTAGTGCAGTGATCGTGCAATGTTTTGGTGTGTATACAGATGTCATCCATATATGCTGTGACGTGAGGAATTGCATATAACAGTTTCCTAACCATTTTTGTGAAAATTTTCGGAGCGTTTATTAATCCAAATGGTAAACGCAACCATTGTTTGAGTCCAATTGGAGTTTGAAAGCTAGTATATTTTACAGCTTCTGGTGTTAATGGTATTTGCCAGTAGCCTTTTGAAAGGTCAATTTTTGTAAAAAATTTTGAGTTATATAATTCTTGTATGATTTCATCTGACGAAGGGATGGGCTCAGTTTCTAAATAGGTAATTTGGTTTAGTTTCCTATAATCAACACACAAACGTAGTGAACCATCCTTTTTCTTTACTACCACTAAAGGCGAACTGTAGTTTGATGTGGAATCTTCAATGATTCCTTCTTGTTGTAGTTGTTGCAATTCTGATATAACGTTATCGATATAATGGATAGGTATCACATATGGTTTTGATTTCACTGGCACTGATGAATTCAACTGGATATCGTAACTGATTATGTTAGTTTTCCCAGGTTTATTTGTGAAAATATCTTTGTAATGAAAAATGATGCTCCACAATTTTGCTTTTTCATTTTCGGATAGTTCTTCATTTAACTTTATCGATTTCCAGTTGACTTCATTTTTTGTTGATGGTGTTGGAATATCTTCTTCTATAACATCAGGTAACTCTTCATTAATTACATTACATAAATTTGCATCAAGTACATCATCATCTGACATGAATAGTGATCTTCTAAAATATGGTTTAAGCATGTTTACATGAAAAATTTTTAACTTTTCATCAATTTTGATTTCATAATCAACATCAGAAATCTTTCTTGTAACAACAAAAGGACCTGACCATTCTATAGATAACTTGTCTGACTTCTTTGGTAACAGTAATAACACTTCATCACCAGGGTTATATTTCACAAGTCTTGCTATTCTATTCGCATATTGTCGCTGTTTTAGACTGGCTTCTTTCATTGCTTCGTTTGCTTGTTGACAAGCAATCATTATTTTATTTCTCAGATCCTTTACTGATTCATAAGCTGATTTTTCTGTATCAGTTTCTGTTTTTCCTGTGATAAGCTTATTATATAGCTGCAATGGTCCTCTAGGATTTGCCCCATATACAAGTTCAAATGGCGAAAAACCTGTTGAGCTATGAGGAATTTCTCTATATGCAAACATAATGGCAGGTAATAAAGTATCCCAAGACTGCGGATGTTCAAATGATATTCTGGCAAGCATTGTTTTTATGGATTTATTTAGATTTTCAACCAAGCCATTCGCTTGTGCGTGATACGGTGTTGTAAAATTTTGTTTAATTCCTAACCAGTTATTAAAAGCTTTTGTAGCCCAAGATGTAAACTGAGTACCTTTATCAGAAATAATCACTTCTGGAAAACCCACCCTTGAAAAAATTGTTAGCAATGCCTCCTGAATATCATTTGATGTTATAAATTTCAGAGGTACACACTCAGGCCATTTTGTGGCAACATCAATAAAAGTTAAGATAAACCTGTTTCCCTTTGCTGACGTCACTGGTAATGGGCCAACAATATCAATTGCAACTTGTTCAAATGGTCTTGATGCTATCAGACCTATTTGCACTGGAGCCTTTGGGTTCTCTCCTTTTTTTTGTGGTTTTAGCACAGGTATCACAAGATCTAACATAATTTTTTACATCTTTAGAAAACCCAGGCCAATAAAATGTAGATAGAATCCTCTTCTTTGTTTTTGTTATTCCCATGTGCCCCGAGAAGATGGAATCATGTGCTAAAGATAGGGCTTTTGGTCTGAATTTTTGTGGTAGTACCGTCTGTTTATAGACTTTTGGACCTTTCTGATATATTCTAAGTAGTACATTCTTTGATACAATAAATTTCCATGTTGCAAATTTCTTTACTACTGGGTCTGTATGAACCAAATCAAAACATTTCTTTAGTTCTGATTTGTGCCTCTGTTTTTTCTTTTTCAATCTGAATCGACGCAGCTATCTTCTCACGTTCCAAAATCAGTTCTTGTTCCATTTGTCTATTTTTCATTTCTTTTTCCTGTTCCAGTTGTCTTTCTCTTATCTCCATCTCCTGTCTTTTAACCTCTAGTTCGTGTGCTCTTAATAATCTCCGTTCTTCCCTGGCATCGTCTTGCATTTTCTTTTCTTTTTCATCACAAAACTTTCTAAGTTCTTCCCCTTCCAAATTTAATTCTTTGCCCAGCTTGATCAGTTCTGC